TTTATACCTAGCTATCTGCTCGTAGCTAGGGTTCTACTGTGGATAGCTGTTTTGCTAATTTTCTTGTATATATTATGCAAAATCAGGTGGTTGTCTCTACAAAAAGCCCAAGGTCAGACAAGCAATATGTTTGGGAAGCAGCAGCTGACAGTAGCTCTTATGTTATTAAGGAAGAAACTAATCCTGAAAATCTCATACAACGTGGAACACAGATTACCCTCTATTTAAGGGTAGGTACCCCTTACTGGCTACTTCATTTCTCATTTCATGGTATTTATTCATTTGCTTGGGACTTTCCTCGTTTTTTTGGTCATTGAAGTTCTTCCAGCTATTGCAGGTTTTGACAGATTAAGTCATTATTATTTGCTAATTTCTTTTCTACTGATTTCTTTTTGGAAAGTTAATAACTTATGGTGAGCCGTCTTAAATTTAAATTTCTCCTTGCAGCCGGATGACAAGTATGAATTCTCAGAGCCGGCCCGGATCCAGGGTTTAGTGAAGAATTACTCACAGTTTGTTTCCTTCCCCATCTATACATGGCAAGAAAAATCTAGGACTGTTGAGGTGAGGACTGCATTTTCTTCTTCGACAGATCATTTTCCCCCTATATGGCTGGTTTTGGAGAGATTGGTAGAGTTGAATTTTGCATGTGATTGGTTCCTAATGGTTCCACTATTACTTTTTTTACTAGTCGAATGTGTGCATGAAAAGTGTTCATTGTAGGTGGCAACCAGGAAAATATTGTTATCATAAAGTTACTCTTTGAATAAGCTGTCTTCAGTCGATATATTCTTCAATAGCTTATGTTCTAAGCTTAAAAGTATCTATTCTTTAACAATGAAGCAATTATTACCTTTGCTGGTCCTCATTGAGTGGAAACTTTTGGCAGGTTGAGGAGGAGGAAGAACCAAAAGAAGGAGAAGAACCAAAACCAGAGGTAGTTTTACATGGGATTCATAATTTATTGAAATGTTGTTCGATCTTGGTCCATATTACATTGAAATTACAATGCTCGTTACCAGGGTGAGAAGAAAAAGAAGACAAAAACTGAGAAGTATTGGGATTGGGAATTAGCCAATGAAACAAAGCCTATATGGGTGAGTTGAAGCTATAATGTTATTTATTTAGATTCAGTATGGCCTGTTTGTTTAATGTGCACGTATATTCTTGCTATACATATTACATCCTTCTTAAAAAAATGTTTTTGTTCTTCTGCAGATGCGGAGTCCAAAGGAAGTTCAAAAAGAGGAGTATCAAGAATTTTACAAGAAAACTTTTAGTGAGTTCCTGGATCCACTTGGATACACTCACTTCACCACTGAGGTACTGAAATGACTATTGCTCTCTCTCATCCCCTTTGTCTTATTGTGTGCTTTAATAATTTGGTTGAAACAGACAATATGACTGGTTTGGAGTTTACTTAACTTTGATATCTGCGCAGGGTGAGGTGGAGTTCAAGAGTGTTCTTTATATTCCTGGAATGGGGCCTCTTAACAATGAAGATGTAGTAAATCCTAAAACAAAGAATATACGTTTGTATGTGAAGCGGGTATTTATCTCAGATGATTTTGATGGTGAACTGGTAAGTTTTTACATTTTGGAAACCACATGTATTTGAGCTTCCATTTTGTTCTTTGTTTTAGTGAAGATGTTTTTTTGTTGCATATACTGTTGTGCGTTAAATTTACATTGTGATTTTACTTTATGATTTAAAAACAATTCATACATCATTAACAATGCTGTTGTTCTACATTCACATGCATATAATTTTTTATATAGCAAATCCACATTCGCATGCATATTCAACTTGTGATGTATAATCTGGAATGTTGAAACTATGGTTCATCGCTGCAATACACTGAATTAGTCTTTTTGCAGTTTCCGCGATACCTGAGCTTTGTTAAGGGTGTGGTAGATTCAAATGATCTTCCTCTTAATGTTTCTCGCGAGATTCTTCAAGAAAGTCGAATTGTAAGCCTAAGTTTTTCAGCCAATCTTTTATGCATTTTGTGAAGCAAATGCTATTGTTCTTTGTTTTTGTTATACATTGGATACTGTTATCAGTTTCTATTGTGATCTTAGCCTCCGTCCATCTAATATTTTCAGGTAAGAATCATGAGAAAGAGACTTGTGCGGAAGACATTTGACATGATTCAAGATATTTCTGAGAGTGAAAATAAAGAGGTTGGTGGCCAGCAATTGAGTTGTCTTTTCTTCTTCCGTTTCACCCGAAAATTATTATTGACTAGAAAATGTTTGAATTTGATCCCAGGATTACAAGAAATTATGGGAGAACTTTGGCAGGTTCATAAAGTTAGGTTGCATTGAGGACTCTGGAAATCACAAGCGCATAACACCCCTGTTGCGGTTCTACTCTTCAAAAAGTGGGGAAGAACTGATAAGCTTAGATGATTATGTTGAAAACATGCCTGAGAACCAGAAGGCAATCTATTACTTGGCATCAGACAGTCTACAAAGTGCAAAAAGTGCCCCTTTCTTGGAAAAGTTGGTCCAAAAAGGCATTGAGGTATGTGTCGTGTGGAATTTATGACAGTGCTGTCTCTCTATTTCTTTCTCTCTTTCTGACATTTCGTCTTCTTTTTGTCTTAGGTTTTGTATTTAGTTGAACCTATTGATGAAGTGGCTATCCAGAATCTACAGACATACAAAGAAAAGAAGTTTGTAGACATCAGCAAGGAAGATTTGGAGCTTGGTTAGTAATTGGCCTGGCCTTTCTGTACTACATCCAACGTTGTAGCTTCCCTGTTGTATCTTTCTCACCAAAAGTTTATTATACCAGGTGACGAAGATGAGGTCAAAGAAAGGGAAACTGAACAACAATACACTCTTGTGTGCGACTGGATAAAGCAGCAACTTGGTGATAAGGTGGCGAAAGTCCAAGTCTCGAAGCGTCTAAGCTCATCTCCCTGTGTACTTGTTTCTGGAAAGTTTGGATGGTCGGCCAACATGGAGAGGTATTTTGACTTGACCAGACCAGTGCTGTTAATTGTTTCCCTTCCCGTACTGTGATTGTGATAAAACATTTTGCTTCGGCAGATTGATGAAAGCACAGGCCCTTGGAGACACTGCAAGTTTGGAGTTCATGAGGGGCAGGAGAATATTGGAAATTAACCCAGATCATCCCATTGTTAAGGACCTAAAGGTAAGATCACGAATGTTCTCTTCCGAAACACTAACTCTGCTAACTGAGAGAGGCGCATAAAAACGTGAGAGAGAACAAAAAACTACACACCTTCGTGTCGTGTCCCTAGAAATATTCACGACTGAAGTACTGGACTTATATATGGATTGACTATTGCAGGCTGCTTGCAAGAATGCCCCTGACAGCACTGATGCCAAGAGAGCTGTAGAACTCTTGTATGACACAGCATTGATCTCCAGTGGATTCACGGTGAGCCGCAAGCAGTTGTTTCTTCCGTTCTTGTAATGTGATAGTTTAACAATAACTTTATGTTCTTACTTCTTTCTTCAATGACGCAGCCCGACAGCCCAGCTGATTTGGGAAACAAGATATACGAGATGATGGCAATGGCCCTCGGGGGAAGATGGGGTAGATTGGAAGACGAGGAGGCGGCTGACGGTACTAATGCGGCAGAATCCGATGCGAATGCCGCTGAAGCGGTGGAAGCACAAGTAGTTGAAGCATCAGAAGTGAGGACAGAGAGTGATCCATGGAGCGATTAGATGTGTTAGTGAGATTATAATATGTTGGATAAAAATTTTGGCCATAATTTAGTTACAAACTCAAGGGGAAGAAGCATAAGGTTGCTATGCGTGGTGTGGGGGAAAGCATGCCTTTTGTGTAGCTCTTCTCCCGAATGTTTTGTTATGGACTTGCTTTTACCAATTCTCTCCTTACGAAAACGATTCAGTAAACTGGAATATTAGGGACCTTGGTAACGTTCTATAAAATGGTTTTTGAAAAACTCGTATTCCGCGTTGTGATTTCAGAATGTGTCTATAGCTACTGAGAATGATTTTAGAGAATGAAAACATTGATAATGCGCCTCATAGCAAGTAAAAGAAAAAGGTAAATATAAATTTATGTTTGGTAGTAGTGGCAGTGTGGTTGGGATGGTGCGGTTGAGATTAGTCAGTAAAAATGGTGGTTGGAGTGGCGGTTGAAGTGGTGAGAAAAAAGGTGTTAGTGGTGGTAGGATACAGGTGGTGGCGATAGCAGGGTAGAGAGAAACGGTGGAGGGGGAGGCGGGTGGTGGTTGTGGCGGCGACGGTGTTTGCGATGGTGGTAGAGGATGGTTTTGTTAGCATTAAGGGTTGTGAGGGAGGTGGTGGTGGTGGCCAAGGTGAGGATAATGGGATGGAGAATGTGATTATGGTGGTGGCTGCGATGGTGGTAGTGGTGGTGCCTGTGATTGTAAGACAAATTATCTACTTGTCTTATTAAAGAGGTGTACAAAAATATGATTACCATTAGCGCTAATTACATTTTACACCTTTAAAGTTTGAGGTGGTTTGCCACTTAGTACTATGGTCTAGTGGTATTCTTCTTCACTTCTAAGTAAGAGGTCTTATGTTCGATTTTTGCCAAAGGTGAATTTGAACCACATTATTGCTAATCACTGAGGTGGTTTAAATTGAGCCATGAGGTTTTAATTTTCTCAAATTGCACTTTAAGGTTTTGAAATTGTATCAATTTATACCTTTTGATATATGAATTCAAAGTCAAATTATCAATTTAATAAAGATTCATATAATTCATCAGACCTATGTAAATTAAGAAAATGTCATAAATCTTGAAAACAATGTAAAAAAATTAAAACTTCGTGACACATTTTAAAACTGTAAAGGGTGCGAACTGTAAATAGCCCTTAAAAAGAAGAAATTAACCAGAAGCCCACCGCCATAGACAGACCGACTATTGGGTCAGCCCAATTATAGCTTTGAGTTTTGAAAGGGGTCGACTCGGGAAAACGTCTAGCCCAAGCCAACGATCCAACGGCTTTATCTAACACACAGAGAACGTAGGTTTATGCAGGGTTTAAAGGCGGCCACTCGCCCAGTCACTCCTCCTTCCTCCCTCCCTCCACCCACCTCCTCCAGATCGCAGTTTTCCAATTCATATACTCATTCTTGTTCTTATAACTAAATTTGTATTGTTCTTATAGCTCCAATTTTTCCTCAATTTTGCTGCTCCTTCGATCGTTGAAGATTTTTCGTTTGATGTCCCTTATCTTTCATCTCCTGCAACTTTGATCTTGGAAATATGTGGAGAAACTTCGCCAAAAGGGTTGCTTCCAGAAAGGCAAATCCTTCGTCACAGTTTCATTTGGGTTCTGCTACTTCTTCTTCAGTGAAATTTTCTCAAGAATCGAGCTTTATCGAGAAAACCAGGCATTTCGAGGCCCGGAATTGTGTAAACAATCGGTTATTGGTGATGGGTTTTCGAAAAATTGGCGATACAGCTTCCCAAAAGGACAAATTGGGCAGATGCAGTTTGCTGAATCCGAGTTACTTTCATGGCGTTTCTGGGTTTTATGGCTATGCCAGTGCTGCCGAGGCCATTGCGTCGACCGATGGGGATGAGGAGTCGTCGGGGTCCGAAGAAATTCAGGAATTGTTGGAGGATTTGATCAGAGAGAACAACAAGGTGGAGTCCCATTTCAAGCAGCCGAAGAAAGTGGTTGCTGGTATAGGAGTAGGAAAGTACAATCTCCTCCGGAAGAGGCAAATAAAGCTGGAGACCGAGGCGTGGGAAGAGGCGGCGAACGAGTACCAAGAGCTTTTAGTGGACATGTGCGAGCAGAAGCTTGCACCCAATTTGCCATACATTAAGTCATTGTTTCTTGGTTGGTTTGAGCCTTTACGAAACGCCATTGCTGAGGACCAAGAGGCCTGCAGGCAACCGAACAATAGAGTCAGTCATGCTCCGTATATTGATCACTTACCGGCTGATAAGATGGCAGTTATTACAATGCACAAGTTGATGGGGCTGTTGATGACAAATAATGGCGGAGTCGGGAGTGTCAGGGTAGTCCAAGCTGCTTGTGCGATAGGTGAAGCCATTGAGAATGAGGTACGCGAGCTCACTATTTTCTTATTTGGTAAATTCATGTTTGCTTTTTATTTTTGAAATACGCTGTTCAAATTCTCTAAATTTCTTTCTATGAACATTTTATAGCTGTGCTGAATTTGGTTTTGGTCCTAAGTTGGCTGTACTTTGAACATTTTGGCTAGAATTTTAGTTAGCGATCAACCATCAGTCTGTTCGGTTTGGTAGAATATCATTACTTCAACTCCTTGTATTCATACAAACGTGAACTTCCCTTTTCTAGGATTACAATTTACATGTATTTGCAATGTATGAAATTGAGTCCTTTGATCTCTCATGCCTTCATGACTAGTTGAAGGCTTTTCTCATGAGCTAGTAATGCTTCTTCCAGCATCCGGTGAAAATAATAGCGAAATAATGGTGACAGTACATTTTCCATTTATCGTTGGTTTTGAATGTTTTAGGAGTTAAATACAGTAATCATGTGCATCAGGTTAGGATACACAGGTTTTTGGAGAAGACAAAGAAGAAGAAGAACCCTAGTGACAAGAAGCCCGAAGATGAATCTGATCCTGTGAGCATTGAACAAGAGCAACTGACGATCAGCGAGCAAGAGAAACTGACGAAAGAACAAGAGAGACTTAGGAAAAAGGTTAACAAACTGATAAAAAAGCAGAAAATGAAGCAAGTGAGGGAGATTGTGAAGGAACAAGAAGACTTAAAGCCATGGGGTCAGGAAGCCCATGTTAAGGTTTGTGATTCTTATAGAAATAATTATGCAAACTATCTTGTTATTGTTGTTGCTATATTATCGTGGTCCTTGTACTTGCCAGGTTGGCTGTCGATTGATTCAGTTGTTGATGGACACAGCTTATATACAACCTCCAGTTGATCAATCAGGAGATGATCCACTTGATATACGCCCCGCATTTGTACATATCCTTAAGACTATCACTAAAGACACACAGTAAGAATTGTTGGATCTTTTTCCTGTGTCTATCTAGCTCCCCACCAGTTCTATATGCTTATACTTCTGTGGGTTTCTTGTAATAGGAAGACTAGTAGGAGATATGGTGTTATAGAATGCGACCCATTAGTTCGCAAAGGCATGGAGAAATCTGTAAGTAGAACAATTTTAACTGATTTGTCTCATGCTATGATTCTAGTTTGTTTTTTTATTTGTTTTTGTTCTTGCGACTTACAAGGGAAATAATCGTCTTTCCTTCTAATTTGTACAAATGAATTTATACCTGAGTAAAACAAGTTACTGATTTCTGTTCTGTCCAAGCAGGCAAGGCACATGGTCATTCCTTATATGCCTATGTTGGTACCCCCTATCAACTGGACAGGGTATGTAGTATTTAGATTAGTTGGAGTTTTAGTTTTGAATTGGCTAGATTAAGCACTTCGGGGTTTTTAGCCGACTCTTATTGCCTGTTGGTATATACTTTGGCAGGTATGACAGAGGAGCATATTTATTCTTACCATCCTATGTTATGCGAACTCATGGAGCGAAACAACAACGCCAAGTTGTTAAAAGGACTCCTAGGACGCAATTAGAACCTGTTTTTGAGGTTTGAAATCCCCAGGAACTGTTATTTTCAGTTTCAGTATTGTATCTGCTCCTGCCTTTAGAATTTGTGCACAAGCTATGTTTCATCAGAAACATCCCTTAAATGTTTTCCTCTAGTGCGAGGGTTCTCACTTGTACTTATTAGTTTTTCCCCTAATCTCTTGACTGTTCTCTGTATTTAGGCCCTGGATACTCTTGGAAGCACCAAATGGAGGGTGAACAAACGGGTACTTGGTGTAATAGACAGGATATGGGCTAGCGGAGGCCGTCTTGCTGACTTGGTTGACCGTGAAGATGTGGGTTATTTTTAACTGGATTTGGTTTTCATACTTCCAAGCTTTGACAGAAACTATTTTATTTTGCTTCAACATGTCATCAACATGTAATTGAGCATCTAAGTATTACTGGTTTTTATCAATAAATAATCTTCATTTTGTTCCTGCTTTAAAAAAGGTTCCATTGCCTGAAGAACCAGACACAGAAGATGAGACAGAAATAAAAAAATGGAAGTGGAAAGTTAAAGCTGCAAAGAAGGAGAATAGTGAGAGACACTCACAGCGGTGTGACATAGAACTCAAACTTGCTGTAAGAATAATTCCTGTTAAGTTAAATAATGCAGTGCTCTTAGATACTCTGATATTAAGTAAGTTTCTCTGAATGGGAATAGGTATCTCGAAAAATGAAGGATGAAGAAGGCTTCTACTACCCGCACAACCTTGATTTCCGTGGTCGTGCTTACCCCATGCACCCATATCTAAACCATCTTGGTTCTGATATGTGCCGAGGCATCCTGGAGTTTGCAGAGGGACGGCCTCTTGGAAAGTCAGGCTTACGGTGGTTGAAGATACATTTGGCAAATTTATATGCTGGTGGCGTGGACAAACTCTCCTTTGATGAGCGAGTAGCATTTACTGAGAATCATGTGGATGAAATTTTTGATTCGGCAGTCAGACCTCTTGAAGGGAAGCGCTGGTGGTTGGGTGCTGAGGATCCTTTCCAATGCTTGGCAGCATGTATTAATCTCTATGAAGCATTGAGAAGCCCCTCTCCAGAGACTACCATTTCATATATGCCTGTCCACCAGGTAATTTTTCTCTCGGAATATTAATATCGTAACCTACAGACAATATTTAGTGATTTTGGTAAAGATGATTTTGTTATCCAATATCGATCTGAGTCTCTTTTCTGTTGCAAGGATGGTTCATGTAATGGTTTACAACATTATGCTGCTCTTGGAAGGGACAAGGTAATGAACCTTTTTATTTTTTAAAGTTAAAAAGGTTTAATATTCTTTACAGAGCAGTTATACTTGCCTCAATTGCTTGTGTGAGTTTTTGTTTTGTTGATCAAACTTCTCATCTCTTTCTTTCTTTCTTTTTTTAGCTTGGAGCTGCTGCTGTTAATCTTGTAGGGGGAGAGAAACCTGCAGATGTTTACTCAGGAATTGCTGCCAGGTAACTGTTTCGCGTCGAGTTGAGTTGAATGGCAAATATACATTTTTGGCGTTGTTGCATTTTTAAAGATGTAAAAACTTAGAAGAGTAAGCAACCTGATTCATTTCCCTAATACACCACTGATAAGTGGTATCTTTTTTATTAATTCGTCTTAATGATTTTTTTTTTGTGGCTGTGCAGGGTACTCGATATAATGCGGAGTGATGCAGAGAAAGATCCTGCCACTAATCCAAATGCATTGCATGCTAGGCTGTTAATTAATCAGGTTAATATCATTAATTGTGCTTGCAAAATCCAATTTGTATGAAGCTTTTCATTGGATAATAATGCTGAAATAGTTTGCAAAAAGTTTAAATGTTGTAGAATTTTCCCAGTTTTGATGACTTGGCCGCCAAATAAGGTTGCAAACAAATTATTTGGCTTGCTTTGTTAAGAAAAGAATTTACTTGAGCTCTGCTCTTTGCTGCTGCTTAATGTGATGTTTCTAATATCTGGCTTGTGTAATGGGAAATTTTAGGTGGATCGTAAATTGGTGAAGCAAACAGTTATGACGTCTGTATATGGTGTTACTTATGTTGGTGCACGTGATCAAATTAAGAGGAGATTAAAAGAGCGTAATAACATAGCTGATGACTCGGCACTTTTTAACGCTGCTTGCTATGCCGCAAGGGTAAGTGAATAAAACTAGCGGATGTTTCTGTGTCTGTAATGAAGTCTGTATTGATTATTTTACTTTCTGAGCAGACCACCTTGACTGCACTAGGAGAGATGTTTGAAGCTGCAAGAAGTATTATGAGTTGGCTCGGTGAATGTGCAAAGGTCTGTTTCATCCACTTTGTCATCTGTTTTTTCTTCATGAGATATGTGAATGGTTAACTGTTAAGTGCTTCAAAAGCTAAGCACATGCACAAGGGATAGATGTGGATTCTATGTTTGAGAATATCATGTCTTTAACTAAGTCTGTAGTGTTCTCATACTAGTCCTGACAGCGATATTTTAACAAAAATAGGTGATAGCTTCGGAGAATCACCCTGTTCAGTGGACCACTCCCCTTGGACTTCCGGTTGTACAACCCTACCGACAATTAGGAAGGCATCTGGTAATATTCTTAACAACTTCTCGAAATTTCCAATGTGGATATATATTTTACTTAGTTACAAAAAGATTCTAAGTTTTTCGTTTTAAGGCGAGCTCGAGCATGTAAATAAGTTGCTGCTTTGAAAATGCAGATTAAGACTTCCCTTCAGGTGTTGACTTTACAAAGAGAAACTGACAAGGTCATGGTTAAACGGCAGAGGACAGCCTTTCCCCCAAATTTTGTGCACTCCCTTGACGGTTCCCACATGATGATGACTGCTGTTGCCTGCAAGAAAGCAGGCTTAAATTTTGCAGGTTTCTGCTGGATTTTTATTCTCTATTGTCTTTTACTCTCTTGTATAGGGAAGTACCTGTATACTAGTTGAGTTTTGCCGATTTACTGCTAATGATTGCAGGAGTACATGACTCATATTGGACGCATGCATGTGATGTTGACGAAATGAATGGTATACTAAGGGAGAAATTTGTTGAACTCTACAATGCACCGATACTGGAGAATGTGAGTATATAGAATGATGCTGATTTTGCCTAGTGAAAATTTGTGAACATACCCGTTAGCTTTTTCTGACTGAATTGAAATTGCTCTTCCCATGTTATATTGCCTATCTAATTTGTTACTTTTATGTCTACAGTTGTTGGAGGGCTTTCAAGAGTCTTTCCCCAACATGACTTTTCCCCCGTTGCCAGATCGTGGAGACTTCGATCTCAGAGATGTTCTTGAATCTCCCTATTTCTTCAACTAGTCCGAGCCAGATGATTGCCAGGCGGCTGTGCCCTTTTTGGTCGCTTTAGTTCCCCATATCATTCACAAGGTGATGAAATTTTATTTAATTTCTCTCATTCAAGGACGTGAGATGGTCAAGGAGAGCGAATTCCGATGAAAAAAAATGCTTCATGTTCGGCTGCAGCTATTAATCTGCTGTTTGTACTTGTACATATGTCAAGAAAGGCTATCTTCACCAATTAGCTGGAGATATCCCACGGGGCTTGGCCGTCTTCTGCATCCACTATTTGAAAGGATTGGGGAAATAAGATGGTCAACAAGCAGCATTCGAGAAAATTGAGACATCCCCATGGATGTGAATCAGAGAAAAACTAGAGCGCCAACAGAGTTGATTCAAACAAATAGGCGAACGACGTTAGACGAACATTGAGGACGTCTTGATTCTCTGAGTGCAACAGATTAAGGGTGGGCATAAATCGTCAACATAAATGTTGTCAGTTCCGTTTGTAAAATTTTGTTTCGTTACGGTTCATTTCAAGGGAAATGTAGAATAAGTTCATGTAATGATTGTTGATTCTTGCTCAATTTTGATGCAGAATTCTTATGATTTTAAGGTGAAATTTACACAGGAAATTAGGGAGGTGGCATTGGATACACAAATACCGTCTTGTTTTTTGGTTTGACACCTTCCAACGTTAGGCACTAAAGCAACATAAGTTCAGTTTTACAAAAGCTGTTTTATGAACCAAAACGTGTCAATATTTTAGAGAGACGGGTCAGTTGTCCACTACTAATTACACTGTTTGCGAAATAGGACGGATGTTGGGATTTTATCACAAGCATCAGTGTAATTAGAAGTGGAATTACTCGGTAGGGGAAAGTGTTCTTCAAGATGACTCAAGGTATTGCATCAGAATTTTCGTACGTATAATTATACATACGCGATCGAAGGCTGTATTTTTGCTTTCGCTTTGTCTTACATATATCTCCCTGGAAAACTTGAGTGCTTTCCTGGATTTCAAATGACAATGCTCTACAGGTATAGTATAGGTTGTTCATCTAACAACAGCCTCTTAACAATCACACCTTCTCTTTGAACAAGGCAGTAGCATTGCTGTATATCGCCATCAGATTCGCAAACACAGCAAGACCGATCATGAAAACGGATAAGATCTTGTCCTTCGTTGTTGCTATGCCGTGTTTGTCCCTGAATCACAAAATTTTGATATCGAATGTACATAAGTTTGCATGCGCGCACACACGTCATTGCTGAACTTGAAGATGAAAAACAATATGTATGTCACATAACTCACCTTAGAGCGATGGCAGCAGGAAAGATGAATCCGATGCAGACTGTAGCGGTCGCTCCAGAGAACTGGAAAACATCCCAGATGCTGGGAATAAAATTTGCGCCCAAGAAGACGAGAGAAATTAGTCCGATGGTGCTTAATGTAAACCTACAATTGTCGGAAACCAGAGGCCTAGACGAAGGAAAGAGGAGGTCATCCAAGTTGAGTCGCAGTGGATGGAAAATAACGGGAAAAACAAGCATGAGGTGGAGGGCATAGCTGATGCGAACGACATCATTAAGCAAAAAGCTGTAAGGGATGCCAAGGTTGGTGTCGAAATTGGCTAGCACATCGTCAAGAGTTGAGTCCCCGAATAGGAGGAAACCGAAAAAGCTAGTCAGAATGTAGACAGTAGAGCACAAAGCCAATGATGTCTGTACAATTGGTTGAATCAAGGAAGTGTCTTCGAGCTCACTGTCGATAGTATGCACTGCAGGAAAAGAAATTCTCGTTAATGTTTAAGCTTTTTAGCTTGCAGATAACAGCAGCATGTTGTGGATCAGCTAGTCATACCGTTGAAGTGGCAGATGAAGGCCGTCACAAGGACAGGAACAACCGTGAAGAGATTCCACACAGATGCAATATCCGACACGTTAGGGAGGAGCCTGGGCATGGAAATACCTCCATAAAAGAGTTTAGTAACAACAATTCCTGCAGTAATAACAAGAAAAACAATCGCCAGCGCAACTGCTAAAGCGGATGTGTATCTCAACGAATCTGCAAGCACAGAAAGGAACAAGTTACGTAAACGCTTCATCAACATAATGTACTGGGATAGAATTGCAACTCGTAGAGTTACTGACATGAACCATCCAATCACAAGTTTGCGACAAGATGTTCATTTTTGGGTTCAATCTCACAAAACAAACAGTGTATATGTACCTATTCGCTTCAACGATGCCAATGGAGCAAACACGAAAATGGTTGCAACGAGCAGCACGAAGGTGCGCCCGTTCCACCAGTGTTCACCAAACCACCCTTCTAACACCCCAGCATGGTGAACTCCAGTTGAAGAAGTTCCAGAAAGCACGTCACCTAAGCCACATGAAAATTTGGAAAAGAATAACTGAGAACTACCAATTTTACTTAACTTGCAAGAAAGAAATACTAGTCCCAGCATCTTCTGAATTGATTATTCAATTGCACTGTATTGATTATTCAAGTGCAGCTTTTCTTATACTTTGGATGTTTAGAAATACATTAGCGATTTTGGCATTCATTTTGTCGCTATATGTGCTCCAAACTGAATATTTTAAGAAAAATTTGCACTCATGTGAACTGTAGGAGGCTAAACTAGTAGCGTTAAAATCACTAGCCTTCCGGTACTTGGGAGAATAAGGGTAGCTTATGGAAGGGCTAAGACATTTCTAACTCCGTTTGACAAATAAAAAGCACTTTAACTTTCACAAAAAACTTTAACATGTTTATACTTAGAGCTTAGCTCCTTAACGTTGAGGAGGAGCTCCTCTCCAAAATTCTTATCAGCATATTCACTAAACTTTATGTTTATAATCAAAACTGTTCATATTATAAATCATTTTATAATGATCATATTTGCAAACAATAATTAAAACTAAGATCGTTTAGTCAATCAATTGTACCAAATAGATACACAGTTCATTATACTTTTACCAATTCTGTCCATCTGATTTTATACGGTGAGATGACTAAACGATAATAGCTTTAATTGATTTTTTGTAGAAATGATTTTTAAATAGTGATTTATGATATAAATAATTCGATTATAAACGCCAAATTATGTGAATATGCCGCAAAGTATTTTGAGGAGTTTCTCCTCAATCTTTGAGGACCCAATTTTGAAACACTTCTAACAAAAGTACTTATGAGGAAAAGTGCTTCCTTAGATGAGCCCTAAGATTATGAATTGAACCCAAATAAAAATTTAGACTTCACACCTAAAAATCAGGACTAGAACAAAAAAATGAATTTACCAATGATGATCATGTAGATGATGAGGGTTCCAAGATTGTTAACCAAGATGCACAGCTGAAACACAACTTTCCCAGCTTTCCCAAAAGCATCCCCCATCACCCCTCCAAAAGTCGCAGCCTTCCCGACCCTACTGAACCTCAGCAGCATCTCCACCGACGCCTCCGTCAGAACCGCCACAAACACGATCATCCCAATCCCAAAGCCGAGTCCCAACACTTTCATGGTGGCCGGCAGCGCCATAATCCCGGCGCCAATAATGGTGGTCGACAGATTAAACACCGCGCCGGTGAAAGATGCCCCATTAAACTCCCCCGCTGCCGGCTCATCATCTTGGTCCGTCCGACTTGGCAGCAGCGGAGAATCCTCGTTCGTAGGTTGCTTCCATTTTGTTGGATTCCTGGGATTTTTGCTGTCCGTGGTCATTGTTTGTTAAAGCGAGTGACACTTTCAAAGTTCCTTTCTTTTGTGTGGAAATTCGTAGCCGCTTTGTTAAGTAATCTTGATAAAGAACACGTAACAGGACAACTGGTAATATCAGGCAACCAAAATAAGTGTATGCTGTCTCGATGTTTTAAATTAATCATGCAGCGTAAATGTGAAAATTTAAGGAAATTTTAACAAAAAAAAATTATATTTTTACATTAAAAAGTTAATTAATTTATTTTATATTTTATTTTATTCTTATTGTTAAAACTCAAAATTTTCAATCTCATTAATTTCCCTGAAATTCAAAGCATGATGTTGTGTTATTAGTTCAATGTTACGCCGTGAGAATGTAGATAAGCTTTTAGGAAACGATGGTGGTTGGGATGTTCTTATCCATTCAGGTGATGAACAGCTACATTGGGCAGGCAATTATATGTCGTGTTGTAATAATTGTGCTCACAAAGTCCTAATCTTTAGCAAAAATAAATAACTAGGGGTGTGATATCATTTTATTTTTCAAGCCATCTTTTAATTTTTAATTATCTTTAATTATCAGATCAGATAAATTGAATAAAATTAACAGATAAAAATTAATAAAAGTTATGTAAAAAGTACACCTTAAATAATTAAGAAATTGTTATTGGTATTTCAAAATTCTCATATGTTCCAAACTTTCTATATTTAGAATAAAAATACACTTATAAAAAAAATGTAGAATAAAATTTTTAAAATATCAATCACACTTTCTAATAATTATTAATGTGTTTCTAATTGGGGGCCCTCTAATTGGGACAGTCACTCATTGAATATGTCACGTGATTAATGCTGGGTGCTTGTGGTCTGAACGATCAGAAATGTTACGTACGGCGGTGGGCCGCCGAACAGGACGGTTTGCAGTCGGAGCTGATAGGTTGGACGACGTGGAGAAGTTTGAGTGGATGATGAGTCTGGAAAGACCAGGCTTGTAGATTTGGTTTGATTGTCTTTCTAAAAACGCTTCTATTTTATCAAATTATTCAAAAACAACTTCAGAACCATGCATCGATAGGGGTAGTTTTGACATTTTTGTGATTGTGTATGGTCCAACTCGCACAGCTACAGTGCTCACTGTAGATAGGGCACGAAAGAATGATAGCGACGGCAACGATGATAGATGCGCCGTGCTGGGACTCTTGCGGCAACTGGTGAAGGATGATAACGACAGCACTGTTAAAAAATACAACTTCTTCTGAAAGTGTGGTTCCTTGTGCAGGAAACAAGTGCACAAACAATGAATATTTCAACGACAATCCGAATGCTTTCCAGTAGTCACCAGTCTGTAAGGCATGCATCGTTGCTGTTCTTGCTTGAACTTTCAAGATCACAATCGTTATGCGAGAAAATTGGGTCAGAGCCATTGTATTTCAGAGCTCTCGCACAGCTCTCATCATACCATCCAAATGGCAAAATACTACAAGAAGCTGGAATTATACAAGTCATGGTTGAAGAGATGTTCATTAAACAAACCAATGGACTCAAAAGCGAAGCAGCTGCAATCCTTGCAAGTATATTCGAGTCAGGGCATGAGCTCGAGAACCTCCCCGCTAATTCTCATGCTCACTATGACTTCCGACTATGTTGTGTGCAACATCATCGATATGCTCAAGAACGCAACTGCCCAGGTATCAGCAATCGGGTTGGAGAATCTTTCAGCAGAGTCAATAAAACTATCAAAACCGCCACAAATCAAGAGAAAGAAGTCGTTGCACCTGCCCAAGTATCTACCTTGTGGATCACCAAGGAGGAGGAATCCACCGCTGTGCCCGGTTCACAGAGGGATATGTTCTTCACAATACACATCAGCATTGTTGATGCGAAGGCGGTTTAGAGGCTGTTAGTGTGTTCGGGGCATGAGAATGCGGAAGTTGTCGAAGCTGCGTTGTTGGCAATATGTACATTGTTGGATGACAAAGTTGATCATGCTGTGCATCATGTTTTGAATGTGGTGATAGAGCACAGGAGAAGGGGCTGTGGCAGAAGTCGTTTTGGGTGATTGAGAAGTTCTTGAATAAATCTATTTTTTACACAAGCGATACTGGAAGAGGGAGATTCAAACTCGGAAACCTCGAGTGCAAGGGATAATGTTCTTAACATACTGAGCTACAAGCCTCTTACACCATTTTGTAAATCTTCAATGAACTAAGTTTTTATGGATTCTTTGATCGTTTGTTGATATATATATGTCAAACCTGAGTCGAAGGTCCATATAGATTAAATCACACACATTCAGAGGGAGTTAGGTGCACTCTATTTCTAGCTATCGCGTTTTTTTTCCTCAGATTTTTTAACAAGCCATTAGCTAAATCTGGTTTCAAAGAGTTTTTCTTGATATAAAATTTTCCTGAAAAATAAAATAAATTTAAAAGGTATTGGTAACTTTTGTTCATCATAAATCACATCGAATAACAAAACAAATAAGACTGACACAATAAAATTCACTAAACAATAACAAACAAGGAACAAGGGAGGAAATTTGACTCCATTGCTTTACATATAACAAACACTTTCGTACACAAATTTGCAGCTCAATTGTTTAAGAGTATTTATCCAAGCAACCGAATTCCCGGATTTGATCAAATGTATATTCGCCTGTATCAAAAATATTAAAAATATATAAACACTTTCCTCGGTTAATTGGCCAAAGCAAATCCTCCCTACAGTGACATTTGTAATACAAATACAATGGAGCAGGTCTTGGCCGGCAATGCTTGAGAACCACTTCAAAATTGACAAAATATAATTCCTTCTGATGATCCAAATTTCAAATGTTGTCCTTCGACCAACAATATTGTTTCTAGCTTTTGTATTTAACCTCCATCTTACAACCTAATACAACATTTATACATGTATATCTGTCTCCACCATAAAAATTTGAACTAAACTTGTACATCCCTTGGATTGCCGGCATGAGATGGTTTAAAAAAAAATCAATATTTTTAATGATCTCCGGCCTTTATATATGTCGACTCTTGCGCAGCTGAGGCTAACAGCAATAGGGTTTTCATCTCCACATCCAGACTCGATCGAGCGAGCACTGATTCGTTTGGAACATTCTCTGGTTCCTTCGAAGATGGCTTCTTTTTCGATAGAGGAGTTCATTGGGGACGGGGTTCTGAAAGGACTGATTCCGAAGCTGTTAGATGAAGGCTGGGATGATGTACCGACCTTGAAAATCATGAATACAGATGATATGGATGCATTAAACATGACAGAACCGGAGAAGGTTAGTTATTTAGACTCTTATTCAAAGTTAAGTTTTACATTCAATTTTTCAGTAATCATCTCCTTAACCTCTGAACATCGAGTACAAATCTAAAAGGGATGTCTTGTAATCACCATATCAATCTGCTTCTAAGGCATTTATTTTCTTACTATTTTTTCTCTAGGATGCATTGGAAATCAGGTCTTACCTGCACGACCGAGCTTTGATGCAATATGGAGATAGGCTCGAGTCCAGTGGGAAATGTCTGTCTGAGCTCCTTAACTTAAGCACTGTAGAGCTTTCTTCTCAGTTTGGCATGAAGCGAGGCCATATTGCCCGTTTCATGGACAGAACCTGTGCTTTTGCGGATCATCTACCAAAGTCTCATCCTAGCCCTGCTGCAACAGGAAGAATGGGCTTACAATCGAAAAATACTAGCATTCAAAGGAGTTTTCAATCTGTAAATTCTCAAAAGATCCTGAGTAAATTACCAACAAGAACTAGTTCAATTAACGGCAAATCTCTAGAACAATCACTGGCAAGTTTCAAGATCAGGGATGGATACATCTTCAAAGGGATCGTTGCCATGGAGCCAGCTGAACCTAGAGCATGTGGTTGTGTACAACCTGATCCTGTAGCCGACAAAGTTGCTCCATACTCCACCATCGAAAACATCTCGGTTCAGAAGTTGACACCAGAGTATAAGATTGGAATGGAGCATTTGGTGAAAACCAAAACACCTCCGATGAAGGCTTCAGAACTGTGGAGAAACAAACCAGCAGTGATTCTCTGCATTCGACGTCCTGGGTAAAATCTTTTACTCTGCATTGCAACATGTCTTTGTTTTAACAGATCCTGGTACTCTCCATTATATTAGGTGCTAAATTTTCTGTCATGAACTCAAAAAAATAGGAGATATCGTTGATCATAGCTTTCAAATAGGGGTGTAAAGTATTAAGTAAATATAAGACACTTAAAGACGGAAATTCATAAATTAAAATGAAGAGGCACATGAAGCAAGTATATTGCTATAGGATGGTATCCTTGTCTTATGGTCCGAAAGGAAGTATATGAAACAGGCAGAAAATGATGTACGACCATGAAAAGCTGGCTCGACTCCACAGTGAGAAATAGAGTTCTATCTAATTCAGTAATTTGAGTCAAAGTGTAAGCATCTTTCTTGAAACTAAGTTCTTTTGTATGTATTGAACTTGAAACAGGTGCATCATGTGTAGAGCTGAAGCTCACCAGCTATATGCCAAAAAACCCATATTTGATTCACTGGGGGTTCAACTATTTGCAGTTCTTCGTGAGTATATGGAGTCAGAGGTATAACTACATTTAATTTCCGACTCTTACCATCAACTTTGGATGACATATTGTTTTGATGCAGATAAAAGACTTCTGGCCTCGATATTGGGGTGGTGTTGTATTTTATGACCGCGGAATGGAATTCTTCAAAGCACTTGGTGGAGGGAAACTGCTCAAGGAAAAATTCCTGTCAGGTTTTGTTTTCAACCCTCGAGCTAGAGCAAATTACAAGCGTGCAAAAGCTATGGGGATACAGCAAAACTTCAAAGGAGAAGGTGAAATTAAGGGGGGGCTTTTTGTAGTTGGCGGTGGAAGGAGTGGCATTGCATACCAGTTTATTGAGAGGAACTTTGGTGATTGGGCACCTCCAGCTGAAGTCATTGAGATCTGTGCCCAGTTGCAGGTAATTCTTCTTGGACTTTTGAATTCCTCCCAAGTCTGCATGAATGATAAACTTTATATACAACAGCTTATCTTTAACGTTAACGCAGAACCAACAAGAAGCTCAAGAGGACTCCTGTAAGAGATCACAGCAATCTGAATGAAAGTTAGATGACTATTTTCTGCGCACGTGAGATCCACAATGAATAAAAACATATATCTTATAGTTCCAGGATAGATACGTATTACGTTTTATGATTCCTTTACAGATGTTGCTTGTACTATTTTGTATGAAGTGTAAAGAGATGAGTTTATTGGAAATGCCGTTCAGTTAACAGTTCAGAAGACCCTTAAGAAGCTTCTTTCAAACTTGCAGCAATAGGTTTATCCAAGTAAATAAAGGGTTCACAACGGATAGTCCTCCAAAACATAATCCAGTAAGTCACCAAGTGATGTTTAATGACTTGCCTTCTCAACCTGAAACAAGTAGAACATGTATAATCATAACTTCCATCTCCAAGTGATGTGATCCTCCTTCTTTGGAGCTTGAGCACAGCTGTTGGAATCTTGAGATAAAAACATTTCCAGTTCATAAACTTGCAAGGATTCAGATCCAAAAAAAAAAATCCTTGTGGGATAGTCACTTCATGCACAACAGGTCTCAATTGCATCTGTGTATATGAAGCAACAAATATCTTCGGAAATCAAGGAAACTCTGAATTTGGTCACCCACCTAATAAATATATGGTTTTACAATCCTCTCCAGCACACTCGCAATCCCATCACCAGAAATCTCCGCATGAACAAGTTCCATCTTTAAATAGATGGTACCGGCCAGCATCTCTTACAAGTATCTCTCTCTTAGTGATCTTGGAAATGTATTTAGCGGCATTGTGGCAATCCCCACATACTCGAAGGTTTTTAACTACTCATATGGGAAGGCCAGGAGGAAGAAATATCAATGCAAATGCAATTGCAAGCTTCTCACTGTGGTAATTTAGCATCTTCATTTTTCTGATTCCTCAACATCATGAAGAACAGAACTCATATCTGGCTCATACCCCTTTTCTATCATTTTGCAATTTAGTTCCTCCAGCTTAGCATATATCTGATCTGAAAATGGACTTGACTGGTCGTCTGCTGAAAAAATGTGCACTCTGTTCTTATATTTGATCCAACTGCATCCCGGTTCCTTTCTAGCGCCCTTATCCCTCATTCCTCTCCTTAATTTGGCCACCTCATCCCATTTCCCTTTGGAGCATAGAGGCTTGAGAGCAGATATAGCTTGCAGCATTCTGGGGCTCTAGTTCTAGAAGAGATTCAGCTGCCAATTTACCAATTTCCATATTATGATGAAGTCTACATGAGCTCAACAAGGTGGCCCAACCAATTGCATCTGGACGGAAAGGCATCTAATTTATGAAGTTTTTTGCTTCTTCTAATCTTCCAGCTCAGCTGAGAAGGTCAATGATGCAAGTGTAGTGATCCACAATGGGTGTAATTCCATGTTCTTTTACCATTGATTCAAAGTAGTGATGTCCTTTCTCCACGAGTCCTGCTCTACCGCAAGCTGAAAGAACCCCTATGAAAGTAACTCCATCGGGTTTCAAACCATGGGCCAACATCCTTTCAAACAAAACAAATGTCTCATAAGCTTTTGCAAACTGAGCATACCCTGAAACCAAGGCTGTCCAGGAGACTTCGTCCGTGATCTCCATCTCATCGAACAGCCTATGGGAGTCTTCGATGCTTCCACATTTACCATATAATGTGAAGTGCATTTGAAACAGTAATGAAAGAAATCAATCCAGAAGCTAGAGCTTGACCGTGGAACTGACAAGTACACTACCAAACGTATATTGATCCATACTTAAGCCTTCCAATCTCATCTCTCTAAACTTATCAAGTGCTTTTCCGCCTGCACAAGAAATTAACCCTGCCTTTGAGTACATGTCCACCAAAGGACTACCAACAAACAAATATAATTCAAACCCAAATTTCACTAATCTGTCGACCCAAGTTCACACACCCCTGACTCGACGAAAGCACAAGCATAGTGGAGAACGTGATCCGGTTCAAATTACCCGGCCCGTCCCTTAACAACAAGCTATAAACTTTCACAGCCTCAGCAACCGAGCCACATGGCGCATGCCCCGAATTAAGTGAATTCCAAGACACCCCATCGCGGGTTGGCATTCGATTGAAGATCTCTTGCATCTCGGAAAGACGACCCGATTTAGAGTAACAGAAAGAATGGCATTCCAAGAGAAAAGGCTTCGGTGAGGCATTTGGTCGAACAGAAGGCGGGCATAGCAAAGTTGCCCAATCTGCCGTAGGTAGTGACGAGATTGTTGAGAAGAAAGGTTTCAGGATTAGTCACGGTTTTGATGATTTGGGAATGCAGCTTCTTGGCTTGCGCATGGTTCCTGCTTGGCTGCAGAGCTTGAGTAAGTTGCAATAGTAGTCTGAGGAAGAAGACATCACCCCAAAGGCCTTTGGCTGTAAACGGAACCTAATTGTAATTTAGAGGAGAGCATAGAAAAGCACTGGGAATGCTTCTTGCACGAAGCACATAAGCAATTCAGTGCTTTTAGAACTCCTTAACTTTTTTGTCTAAAAGCGCCTTTGCGTCATTTTAAAAAACACTCACACACGAGCCATTTGAATGCTCATTGCACCCCGAAGTGCATGAGCAATTCAGAACCCCAAAACATTTTTTTTCTAACAGTCTTTGCGTCATTTTAAAAAACACTCTCACACGAGCCATTTGAATGCTCATTGCATCCCGACACACGAAGCACATGAGCAATTCAGAACCACAGAACATTTTTTTTTCTTTTCTAACAGTGCCTTTGCGTCATTTTAAAAAACACTCCCACACGAGCCAATTGAATGCTTATTGCACCCCGAAGCACGAAGCACACAAGCAATTCAAAACCCCAAAAACATTTTTTTTTTAATGCGCATTTGTGTCATTTTAAAAAACACTGCTCATTGCACCCGAAGCATTTCAAATACTTTTCTAAAATTAATTTTCATTTTTACTAAGAATTTGTGCCACAAAAAGTAAACTAAACATGTTAAAATATGTAACAAGATGAGAGAAGAAATCAATTATAATACTACATTTGAAATTGAAAGATATATAATAACAAAACAATTTGTTAATCTAAAAATAACAAAAACATGACCAGCATTTCCCATTGCAAATTCCTTGTTACCGCCCATCTCTATTTCTGTACATTCCCTGATCCACTCCCTCCAACACAAACAACTTCACCTTCTCTGCCTCTATACATGTCATCATATAGTGCTTCTTACAATATCAACATAACATCTGCTTCGCATTATGTTTCTGCAAATCGCCTAAAGACGGAAGCTTCAAATTTGACGGGTTGAGCTTCCGCAAAATATTGCGATGGTATCTTCATCGTCCTAGGTGACCGGGAAAGGGAGTATCATGATCGTTGTTATTTCATCAAGGTAGTATTGTGCATGTATGGGGGCGGAACAGTGTCGTGGCATGAATAAGAATCGTATAATCAAAGTTCAACTTTCATCTGGCCCGGTGGCGTTGATCCTACAATTTTTTCGAAGAGAAGAGAAATTAGCTCAAGACACTGGAAAGATATCGGAGGCATGTTGTACGTAAAACCTAATGATGCATACCATCCACATCTTGGCTACTGGGAGGAGTACTGCCTCCATAGCTCATCTGGACAACGTTGTGGAGCTCATCCTCCCACACATTTGGTAGCTGTAGCCAAACACAGGAATTATGAAGTTCAGTCGTAAGACTCGTAACATATAGACTCTGAAAGCTGAGCAGAAGAATAACATTCAGGTGTACATGGTGTATGGGACATTATCCACATTGACTATGAAAGTTCATGTCACAGAAATTTAGCGGTCACTTGAAAGATACCTGAGAAAGCTCCTTGAATCCTCCGGTCATTTGTGTTATTTGGGAACCCATGGCTCTCCGAAGTAGATCAGAAGAGCTCCCCATCCCAGGAAGGCCAGCTTGGATAAGTCCCGGTTGAGATGGATGTAGTTGACGATAAATCATAGGCATATCCGGAGAAAACCCCAACGTAGATGAAGGTCCGACCCGTGACTGAAGGATCTGTGTGGAAATGATGTACAAGGGTGAATCAGATGTGGCACAAACATACAGATCATGATTCTGTCTTCCCATGGAAGGCAGGCAAAATGACTTACATCATTTGCAAGGAGGCCTTCAATGTTAAAATCAAGCCGCGGATTCACTGTCGCAAGCTTCATTGACAAAAACTGCAAAAAGAAGAGGCCACTGTAAGATATAATCGAATGCCTTACACTAATCAGGAGTACGTGTCTAGCATGAATTTAGAACATAAATTTGAGATTATGGTTAGTAAAGGGCCCATTTATTTGCAATCTTTTCCTTAGAAGCAACACCTAAACCGACATAAACAAGTTAAGAATAGCTCTTCATGAAGACAGAAAAGTTGAATTCAGTAAGAAACCAGTTTCCCAACCAAAACTTTTGATGAGATCAACTCCTATCCACGAATACACGATGCAGGAAAGACCAATTACACCAGAAATACTAAGAACCACAACTCGGAAGAAAAGAAATCAAGTAAGTTTTCGTACCTCAACCTGCCGTTGCAATGATTGTACGTAGTTAATGATTTCGTCCAGCATCACTGCCTTCCCAGTTACCTGCATCAACCAGTTGCTTGTCATGAATATGAACTAGGCAACTCTCAGGTGCGAATTTGACATAAATTAGTTCTTTAAATATTATTCAAGTAAGACAAGACAACCTTGCTGCATCCAGGCACAAGATCTTGAAGAAACTTCATCCTCTCACTGATTTTCTCCCTTCGGACCTGTTTCAAAAAACGATCAAACTCCACCCTAATGTAATAATAAAAAATATTTCGACATAATATCTTACTCTTTCTGCAAGACTGTGACTATTTGTTGCCTGGCCTCTTCGTGCTCTAACATGAATATATTCTTCTTTCGGCGGATCAGACGCTTGAGACCCTTGTTTCCCCTGTTTTCCAGTGGTCTTGTTGGGAGTTGAAGCTGGTTGTTGCTCTCCCTTATCTTGAAATTCAGTAATATCCATTGCCGATTCACCGGGTTGTTGTGCATTGGCTTGATCAAGCTCATTAGCCTGTCATCAAAGATAAATTAAATAACATGCATAACGAACAAGGTAAAAAAAAGGCATTTTCAAGATGGTGGTTTACCTGCCTACTCCTTTTCCTTTTCTTAAAGCCCTTAGCAGATGGTTTTGCACCACCCAGCATAGATGGTTCTTCTTGACCACCACCGCCACCACCGCTGGAATCAGCTTCATCGGACTCGTTACCAGACCCGCCAATAGCGTGTTTTGCTTCATCATGAGATTTCGCAAGGCTCTCACTTTTCTTCTCATTCTTCAGTGGGCTCCCTTCAGTAGTCCCTTGCTCCATAGGCAAAGAAACATCTCCATTTAGCTCATTCCTTTGAGAATGAACGCCGGGAACTCCTTTCGACCCATTACCGGCTACAAGTTCTTGTGTCCACGGCATCAATCCCCCACCCTTAGAATACATACTCATGGATTCAGGGAAACCAAAAGGGTTGACCATATCACTAAAACTCCCGCCATTGAAGCACGAGAACCTCGCAGCACGCTCAATGAATGCAGAATCGGCCGGAAACTGAGACAAGCTCTGTGGGAGCACTCCAGGCCCATTTGGCAAGAACATTCCCCCTTTCAACATCGAATTCGGCGGATTCCAGCACATATCAAGTGCTCTATCAATACCACTTCTCAAAGAGGCAGGAATGCCTTTCCTAATTCCTATTGAGTCTGAAGTGCTTGCACTGGTCTGAACATTCATGTCACAAAACCCCAGGTCCTGTGAACTGGTTGGGTGATCCCAAAGTGTCGGGTTAAACGATTCCGCCCTTGAAGCTGAGGGCCGAGAAGAAGAACCAACTAGATCCCCTTTACTAACTGCCATAGAATTTCCAGTGGGAACTATCCCCATGGATGTATTTGTGAGATTGGAGCCACCAAATCTCCAGTCTGGTTTAATCCCAGGTGAAAAATTCACAGGATCATCATTCCTATTCTCTAATTCAAATTTGTCTTGGTCACCCATATCCATGTTTTCTCCAAAGAACGCCAAAAGTAGCCAAAATCTCCGAAATTTGACCACCCCAAATAAAACCCTAGAACCCTAATTTCAACTTGACTAAAACAGGAGAGAGAAAAGCAAATTAAAAACAGAGGAAGTAAGGAAAAGTATAATTCAACTCAAATAATCTCAAAAGATGTAAACTTTAAACTTGCAATTGAAGAAACTTCAAGCTTCTCTGAGAAAAATTACCTCAGGAGTTTCCAGGAAACCCAAAAAGTAAAGAAATAATGTGCTATGTGAAGATAACTACACAAAGAAAAGGGCTTTGAGAGAAAGATACACACTTGCATTAATGGGCAGACGAATTCCAAAACAGTGAAACAAAACCCATGTACCTAAAAAAAGCTGTACCAAATATCACACCAAATTCTCAGCTACCATTTCCAAAGACCACTCAAATTTGCAGTACCATATTTGACAAGAGGAAGCACTCCCAAGGCAGAAGACTAAAAAATGACAGTTCAAAGAAAGGGCTGGTAAAAGTCTAGAAGAACATTGATTTCAGCATAATAAATGCCCCCATTCAAAACCCTAGTCAGAGTTGCAGGAAACCCTCAGCTCTGAAACACAGAGAGAGAGAGAGAGAGAGAGAGAGAGAGAGTCTAGAGAGAGAAGGAGAACCAACTTCAAAAGTGGTAAGAGAAAGATACCCGTTTGAGATTCTGTGTTACTTTTGGCTCTCTGCCCTCCATTCAAGCTTTGTACTTGAAACAATCCTCTTAATGAATTTGGGTTTTGGGTTCGCTTTGTTCAAAACGCCTCCTGTTTTTTAGCTGGGCAGCTCTGGCTACACTCACTGTCGCACACCCAAAAAGGTGGAGAGAGAAACTGAAGAGAAAGAGAGAGAGGAGATAGATTGCTGTAGAGAGTGAAAGAAAGAGGAGCAACGGCAAAGGTCTTGCTTTTATACCCACGCTTACATAAAAAACAGAGCTCTTGATGAGTAACCACCGCCACTGCCACTGTAAAATTATTAAACACGCTCTCTTCTCTTCCCCCCAAAACCCATTGCATTTTTCTTTCTTCACCGCCTTTAAATTACTAGTATTCTAATCTTCATTAACTTTTATTTACTCACTTGAGTTTTCTTTATCATAATTTTAGCGAGATAAATGTTAAAGAAGATTTTTTAAGAGTGTGATCTTATGTTTTTAATATAATATTTTAGAAAGTTAGTATGAAATTGATATTAAACTGTAAGTGTTGAAAAGTTTATGAAAAACTCTAATTTAAGAGAATTTTCTTAACATTTCTCTTATAAGCGATATTATACAAGAGTTTAAATTTTAAACTCGAAAAATAGTATGAAATGAAGACAAAGGTTCTAATTATTGAGATAATATGTCATCGATTAATATCTGTTTATTTTAATAGCTTGGATTTTTTAACTCTGATTTATTCAATCGAGTTGAATAATTGCATTAGTTTAAGCAGATGATTTATTCCAGTTGAGCTAGCTAGCAACTGACATTGCCAACTTTTGCTTTGGGGGCTTTCTTTTATCTTATTGCATTGTCCTTCATTGCACCATGGGACATGAGCTTTATAATGTCTTTTAATTTGGTTTGTTTGGTCAAGGACCTAAAATCTAGCTCGTTTTCACACTGCATTTATTAATGGAGAACTTAATTATTAGTTAAGAAACTAATTAAGCCATCTGGTTTATGCAGTCTGCAATCTGCATTATTGTGTGGGAAGATCTACGCTATCTCATCTTGATAGCTTGACCATCTTATCTAGCAGCCTAGCACATTCCATGTTGTATCTGTTTGTTCTATGGTGCATATACATTGCCTATTATCTATCACCAAATAGTGATTTTCGAACTCTTATTGTTTGTATCTGTATTATTTCTTTTTGTCCTAATTTTTTTAGTAAAAATATCGTAGAACAAACAAAAGAAGGGACGTAGAAAGGAACCAGAGCGTGAAATTACTACTATTATATATGCTTCATGAGTCATGATCTAATCATCCATAAAGGCATGTAAATCAGATGGCTAGGGTTTCCTCTACAGTCTCAAGGATGACCCATCAGTTACGAAATCTTCATTGTTAACAAGCTGCACCTGCTGAAGAGATCTTCGATGTATCAGAATCACAATTTGATATGCTAACTGTTATAATACAAGTAATTTGGTAATTGAAAAAATTAAAGTATAGTAAAAAAAAACTTGTTCAATTATTTTCTATTAGCAATGGCTTTATACCATTTGATGGACTGTCCCTTTCTCTCCTTCTCTCATGTCATTATTAGTTGGCATTGGGACTGGCAATCACAGACTCACAGTCACCTAAGCCTTAGATTAATGGATTCTCCCCTCCACTGTCCATTATAAAAATCCCATCTAATTTCCCTTCAAGCCATTTGAAAAAACAAATTTGAAAATTTCAGTTTGAGATAAATTCTTTTATACTGTGAATTATCATAGAATATTGGTATTTTGAGATTGTTTCTATGAAAATTTTTTTTGTATATAAACGTTGACCAAATTTCCGAGTGCTTTGATAAGCATCAAACAACACTCTCTAAAAGTGATTTTAACCTTTCTAAAAGCATTTTCAAACACTTTTGTTGTAAATCTCAACTTCGATATTTGATTTTTCTAAACACTTTTATTGTAAACCTCAACGGCATAATAGAAATTTATTGAATTAGAAAAAGAAAAAAAAATTATACCATCATGAGTGACGTAAACCTTATCCATCTTTCCTTGTATTTTTCACTATATTCTTTATTTTTGCATTTACAGACGCTCTTTAGCTAGAAAAGAGAAAAACAAGATGGCAAATAAACTAAACACACACATGGATGAGTTGGTCCATATATTATGGTATATAATACGACATAAAAAATGATTTAATTATCTCGATGTGCAGTGTATGAGAAAGAATGAACTGGGTTAGAGGGGATAGTCCAAAGGAGAAGACAACGGAAACAAAACCCACAGGCTCAGGGTGCTACCGCCCTGTTAAGGAAACAGGGATTAAGATTCCTCCATATCAATTCCTCTTTCTCCAATTAGATTATGAAGAAGCCAAGAACAAGGCAAATTGCGCATTGACACGTGTAATGGTGTGCTCTTTTATAGGAGATCAATTGATCGAGAGATTTTTCAGTGTACCGTAAACACGGCTAGGTGTACTAAGTGTAAAACTACAATTGGTGAAAATTTAAAAAATAAAATAAAATTCCAACCAATTGTATGACACTTAGTGTACCGTATTTCAAACACACTGAAAATTTTTAAATTGATTATAATTTATATAATAGTAGTGAGAGTTGGTTCATGGTTGGCAATGAATGACCCTCCTTTTGGGAAAGCAAAAACCAAGCAAGCAACCAAATCACGTCCATGGAATGGCAACATGGGATAATATAAGAGTTGGGGATTCGAGATCTCTTAACCAGAGCTTTAGAATTCTTTAACCTCAGTCAAAAACTCTAATTAAGTATGTTCATCATTTACTCTCTCTCTTTCATATATATGTTCAGAAAAATAAAGTAGTTCCTTGATCCTTTACCTTGGACTTGCCCTTTAAACGATTGGACAAGCACGTTTCAGACTTATTTGATTTATGTAATTCCATTATTGTACTTACAAACAGTGTCATGTAAGTTTAAACTTAGGCATGCATACAAAATGCATTGGTGTTTGAACGGCTAAATCGAAATTATTAAAATTCGATGCAGATCCAACCGCCTAATACATTATTGCATCTCATTAATTGACATATTGTAAAATTTTCAGTTTTTATAACGTGAATCTTTAACTTTTACCTGTTTTGTGTTCAAAACTATATTGTAATAACAAAGACACTCTCATTATAGCTATGTACTCGTAATATAATTACAAAACAACAATATGGTTTAATCACAATTAAGTATCAAACTCAGTGCACATTCTATGTTAATCAAATAAAGACAAGGGTCACTAAAACAAATGCTAGCTGGTCTTGAGTTCTCATACTTCACTAAAACGTCTGTTGTGCATAATTAAAACCCTGGAATTATAAAATCCATGAAAAAAAAATAAAAATCCAAAAACGACAGATATTTAAATTATGTTCTTCATAAGGAGAGATTTTTCAGTGTGACTAACACACAGGGTGGTACACCACATGTCACTATATAAATTGTGAGATATATGTGTTAAAAAGTTAATAACTTAAAAAATAAAATTTCTCGCCACTTACATAAAAACACGTGGTGTATCATCCATATTCCCGTCACAATAAAAAATTTCTCCTTCATAAGTTGCAAAGCTATTCCTTCTCATGGATGGAGCCAATGAAGGCTCACTGGGAGCAGATGCCCCCACTCAAGTAATTTGTTTGTTTAGTTGCAAACTACAATTATATAATATACAGGAGTTATATTTGAAGAAAATATATATATCTAATATCTAACATATATTCATTCTACTTATACTCCATATCAAATATTATATGAGCAATAGTGCACTTGTTCAGTCATGTACTAATATTTTTTTCATCGCTTTGCTACTTTTCACTACTATGTTGAAATTTTTGTAACATTGAAATTGTGATACATCATCATTTGAAACCATCATTAATATCATATTGCGTATAATCATACTATAATAAAGTTTTCTTAGTTATTTTCTGTTGCCCCCACTAGAAGAAATTTCTGAATCCATCCCTCCTTCTTTTTTTCACTATTTTGTAGACATGTTTATATATATATATATATATATATATATATATATATATATATGAATCCTTTAACAAGAAGGATCCCCATTTTTCAAAAAAATGGGAACACCATCTTAGCCGTTAAATTTGACTTTAATGAAATTGTGTGATTGAGATTGTGATTTAATTTCAACTATAAAATTTCATTAAAGCCAATTCAACGATTAAGAGGATGTTTCCATTTTTTTTTTTAAATGAGAATTCCTCTTGTGAAGTGGCATATATATATGCTTCTAGATGGTTTGATAGAAAATTACTTAATGTGACTCTCAAGGTACTAACTAATTGATTAAGGAAGTACGTACATGATGGAATATGTAGCTTAAAATTGCACAGCGCATTTTGTTTGACTCGGTCATATTCCTAGGAACGTACATCTAATTAAGTTTAACTTAATTAATTAATATGTAGGATGCGAAATAAGATCTTGAAGAGCAGAGAAGCAAGAACGTCAGCTGGGCTGGGTCTACAATGGACACACCAGATAATATTATGATCTCCTCCAGAAAAAATTGTGATGAATTTCACGCAAACATCATGACATATAATCATGATAAGATGCTGGTCGAAATTGAATGATTGTTTTCCAAACTTTTATAGCCTCTTTTGGCTCGCTTTTTCTGAAACCCTAATTCCATAAGATCCACCTTTTCATTTTTCTAGCTTTCTGAGTAGAAGATGCTTCTTGAAAATGTGGGGGTCTTTCCTGTTCCTTTTCCCTGGATTTAAAAATTTTTAACTCTCATCATCTCCTGCAAAAAGTTGTAAAATGTAAGAGAAATAATGGGACCCTTTTGTGGTAGCATTGCGATAAAAGAGTGCCTGCCCTTTGTCTCTCCATGCATATGCAATGGGGAGACACTAGAGACTCGTAGGGTACCGTTAATAGGACTCTTTGAACATATTGTAGGTAGAGATAAACGGGTGAAAAATCAGATCATGGAAGGTAGAATGTCGATTCTGATCACGATTTCTAGCTGTAGTAGCACTACTGATCATATACCTGTATATAAACTGTGCTCAAAATAAGTTGGGATTTGATACTGTAGAATGTCTAGAAAGCACGTTCCATATCCTCCATGCTCTTTTTCTTCCCAATAGGGTTTTGTACAACCATCTACTGTGTCACAATGTTTCGTCGGAATACTTTTCATCGAGTATGTAGCGGTCACATT